GGATAAGATGAAAGAAGATTTTGAAGAGCAATTAAATATAAAAAAATATCGTGGAAACCTAAGTGGAGGTACACTGACCATAAGAGTTTATGACTCAGACCACTACCGCACAGTTACTGAATACCTAACTAAACTACTTATTCCTTTTCATACTTTTAAACTCAACAGTGAAAAGCCTATCAAGGCAATAATTAAAAAACTTCCAAAAACAGCTAATATGGAACTAATCAAAAACGAAATTGCCCAAGAAGGTATCCCAATTCAAAAAATTCGACAAGTAATTCACACTATTGAAGGAAAGAAAGTTCATCTTCCTGTTTTTATAGCAGAATGTACTAGAAATAAAGAAGGTAAAAGAATATATGATCTAAAGAAACTCAGAGGTCTGGATGTCTTCATCGAGCCTTTTAAAGCTCGCCCTGGACCCGTGCAGTGCCATAAGTGCCAAAGGTACGGGCACACACGGGACAAATGTCACTATAAACCTCGCTGTTTAAAATGTGCAGAGCCTCATGAAACATTCACTTGTAAACAAACAAAAAATGACAACAAACTCCCTGTCTGTGCCCTCTGTGGGCAAAATCACGTTTCTTCCTTCAAAGGTTGCAGTAAACATCCTTATAATGTTCAGAAGCAAATCGAAGAATCTAAAGCTTTCAAAGAAGAAAAGAAAAAGAACAATTTAAATTTAACAAAAAGGATTTTCCTTCACTCCCTGAGAACAAACCAAAAAATGCATGGAATACTTCCAAGGAAAATGAAAACACTAGTAAAACAGAAGACACAAACTCAAACCCACTTGGCTTTTTTGACTGGATAAAAATCCAATTCACTCAAGTTAAAGAATTCTTCCAGAAATTTAAAACAGCAAAAACAATATTAGACAAACTAGAGGTCGGTATGGCGGCCTTCGAATATTTCTCAAATCTAAACTATGAATTTTAATCAAACTCATAGTCAAATAAATTTTATCTCAGCTACAAATAGCTTCTTAAAGATTTGTTACTATAATGCAAACGGCATCAGATACCAACAAGTGGAAATTTCAAATTTTCTTACTAGACATAACATTGATGTTATGCTAGTAAATGAAACCCATCTCCGCTCTTGCGACAAATTTAAAATACAAGGCTACCGCATCTACAGAAAAGACAGAAGACATAATAGAGGGGGAGGAAACGCAATTCTCATTAAAAACCATATCAAAACAGCCAAATATGATTTAAATCCCTGCTTGTACTATAGAAAATGCTGCAGTACTTATCTATAGTGGTTTTAGAGAACCTTTTCTTTTTATCTCCGTCTACAATCCCCCCTCCAGCACTCTTGATCTCAATAATCTGAAACTACTTACTGAAAATAACTACCCCACCTTAATAGCAGGTGATTTAAATGCTAAACATTCCTCTTGGAACTGTAGAGTCACAAATAGAAATGGAGAAAATTTAAGCAACTTCATCCACAATAGTAACATCAATCTCATTGCTCCCAATCACCCAACGCACTATACGCACAACGGACTAGGGGATATTTTAGATATAGTTTTGATGAAAAACCTTCCTAATATTCCTAATCTTGATGTTCTCCCAGAACTTTCGTCTGACCATCTCCCTATAGTCTTCAACTTCTATGGCTTTTATCCCCCTCTCCCTAAAGCTCATACAAAAGTTAATTGGTATATGGTTACCGAACAGCTAAATTCTGTTAACAGCAGAGCCACACTTCGTTATGACTGCGATATTGAGCTGGAAATCACCAGATTAAACTCCAAAATTCAAAACGCTATCAATAATGCTACCTATACAGTCAAGAATAAAAGAAGTCAAGAATAAAAATCCCTATGACATCCCAGAAGAAATTAAATCCCTTATACAAGAAAGAAATAGACTTAGAAAAAGATGGGATATTACTCACAATCCTACTGAAAAACGTCATATTAATTATTTAAACAGAAAAATAAAAGACATCGCCACCCATCGATCAAATTCGTGGGATAATTTCCTAGAAAACATGGATCTTTACCCAAACTCTGTTTGGAAAGTAGCTAAATCACTCAGAAATCTTTCACCCAATCAAATTCACCCCCTGTATCACATGGGCAAAATTCACCACTCCGAAGACTCCATTGCTGAAATTCATGCAAAAGAATTAGAAAACATTTTTAAACAACATGAAAATAAAAATTCTGATCACGAAAAAGATATTAATTACTCTGTCAATAGCATCCTCAACAGTCCCAGCATTAATTTTTTTACGCCTGCATCTCCAAACGAAGTTCAGCAAATTATTAAAAAATTAAAGAAGCGCAAAGCTAAAGGATATGACATGATTTCTAATGAAGCGTTGCAAGCTTTACCTAGAAGATGCATAGTCTTAATTACAAATATTTTTAATGCTTGTATTAGACTCAGCTACTTTCCATCGCAGTGGAAACATTCGATCATTGTTACGATCCCGAAACCAGGAAAAGATCCAAAGCTAGCAAAAAATTACAGACCCATCAGTCTTCTGCCAGCGCTTGGAAAAGTTTTCGAACGAGTACTTAGTGCTCGGCTCACCAATCATCTAGAACGCCTTAATCTAATAGACAAGCATCAATTTGGATTCCGCAAAGGCCACAATACCACACATCAAATATTAAATTTAGTTGAATTTATTGCCCAAGAATTTACAAAAAAGAACGGAGTAGCGGCATGCTTCCTCGATTTCGAAAAAGCTTTCGATCGAGTGTGGCATGCTGGCTTACTTCATAAGCTATCTAACTTCCTTTTACCAAACAGCTTTATTAAGCTTATGCATTCTTATTTTAAACATCGTACTTTTCAAGTGCGCTGTGGTGAAGCAATCTCTTCAAAAAAAGTGATTTACAGTGGAGTAGCTCAAGGCAGTGTTTTAGGACCGAAGCTTTTTACAATATTCATAAATGATATGCCTCTACCTTTTCATTCTAATATACTCAAATATGCCGACGACACAGTCATCCTCACCAGTTCACGAAGTCCAAATAATGCTTTAGAGAAACTTCAGCTCCAAGTCAACATTATTAACAAATTTTGTCAAGACTGGAAAATCAAACTAAATACTGATAAATGCTGCGTAGTTCTCTTTCGCAGATACAGAAAAAATATCCCAGTGAATATAAATATCCGACTCAATAACCAAGATATTCCTGTTGCCAACTCCTATAAATATTTAGGTGTCTATATTGACAAAACCCTAAATTTCAAAGATCATATTCAATATGTTACAAATAAGGCTAACGCTGCTTTCATTGCTCTCTACTCATTAATTGGAAGAAACTCTAAGTTAAACCTCCGTACCAAGAAAAATATCTACATCTCACTTATTCGACCAATAATCCTCTATGCAGTTCCAGCCTGGGCTACTGCCCGAAAAATAGACAGACAAAAATTAAATGTACTTCAAAACAAAATCTTACGTAGCATAGTGAACGCACCCTGGTTCGTGCGAAATTCTCAAATTCACAAAGACCTGGATATCAATCCAATTCACGACCAAATCCTAATTTCTGCACACAACTTCTTTGAAGATATGAGAAATTCTCCCTATGAAGCTATTAAATCGCTTACAGACTATGACCCTACTATTGAGAACGTAGTGAAAAGACCTCGAACGATCCACCACAATTCTAAGTGGTGGTAGTGTATATATAATGTATAAAAAAAAAAAAAAAAAATTACTATTCCTTTGCAGTTACTATTCAAGAAAGATGAACTTTGCAAAATTAGGACTTTATTTTTCATCGATGAATTCTTCGTTTTACTACTTATTTAACCAAGATTTTTTTTTACTTTTTATTTCGTATCGTGTGTTTTAAAATCAAAGTTCGTGGTAACACCAAGTGCTTACTCTCACTCATTAGCCCTAGTGAGCTACATGACCTCATTTTCGCCTTTTACAGTTTCCTATTCATTTAATGATTATATCGCAAGTTTAGAAGATTTTCAAGTGTTTCAAAAGACATAAGACTCTTAAATTCACAAATAGATGTTGCTTTTACTATGTTCGAACTTTATTTATTGCCAAAAACTACAAAAACTTCATTTTTCGAACTCTGACTCCTCGACCAATCTAAATGCCGGACGCTGATCACGTGTTTCTGCTCTTCTTGACTCACGCAGAAGCTTAGACTTTCATTTCGCTTCTCGCCACCATTTACGTATATAATCACCCATGCTATGCCATGATATGCAATTTAGCAAAACTTATTTTATGAGTTCTCTCATTTATTGATCTCGCCTTCGGGTGTATTTTAAATACACCTTTTAAATTTTTAACTTTATGGCCTATGGTAAAATGATAATATACTGGTAAGAGCTCCTAGTAGCTAAAGCCAGCAGTAAAGATATGATCCAAGATCCAAACTGTCAGAAGTGAAAGATGCCATAAATTAGGAAGTTCTTTATGCCATAAATTGTGAAGTTCATCATTGTTGTCAAGGGTCTCCTACATGCAATGCATTATTATCTGCAGAAGGGAGCATGTTGAAAGCTTGCAATTCCAGTACAAGATTTTTTTCCCTCCTCTCCTCTCCTCTAGAGTTGTCAGTGGAAGGCAAATGTTTTATATCGCCATACATGTATCCTTCCAATGCCATTTATAGTCTTCAATGTGCTGATCAATTTGCACAGGACAAGAGGGTGTTGTCTTTCGAAATTTTTTCTCTGTAACCATAAAAGCCCCATTGTTTTAAATCATTAATAGTTAATCTAAGACAGATAAGAAACTTTTAAATAGCTGTGCCTATATCATATCATGATTCAATAATGGTTTTGATAAAATTTTATAGTCATTTTAACTAAATTACATACACAATGATTATTACTATACATTAAAATTTATAATTACCCAAATCTTCCATGAGGACACTATTTTTAAAACTGCCTAAATTTAAGACCATTCTTCTTTTATGTTTAAAAAAGAAACACTCAAGACCTCAAAGATTTAATGAATAAAATAAAAATAAATTTAAAACTTACGTGCAGTATTCTGTTCAATGTCAACAGCTTCATCACCAGTGTTAATTTTTACTTCTGGTCCCTCACCAGCCTGTCCAACACTAAATAAGATATTACGTTTAAAATTATGTACAATTAAAAAGAAGTACATAAAATTTAATATCAGCAAAATTTTTGTAATTCTGATTTGTCCATAGATTCAATATCAGCAATTATAAAATTAGAATATTCTAAGTTTGAATTATTAGATTTTATAAAATAACTAATCCTAAGAACAATGCATTATCCTTTATATTCTAACATTTTTGCGCTTAATACTGCATTAAGATTAGGATTTATTAATTATAATAAAGCATATAACTAATATATTTTCACAGCATGCATTGTAAGGAAACATAAGTATAATACAGTCAAAAGTCATTAATTCGGACTTGTCGGGACTTCGGCGATTCCGAATTATAGATTAACAGTTTAAATCTGGTAAGATGGCATGCAGAAATTATAAAATTAAAAATATGAAACCGTAATTTACGAAATAAAGAACAATTATGATCTAAAGGGTATCAAAATTTACAAAAAAAAAAAAAGCTTAATATTATTTATTTACTTTATTAAACCATTTCTTTCAATGTAAGTTGTTTAAGTTGCTTCGTTTTATGTGATAATACTTTCTCTTTAATTCTATAAACAGACATAATCTTGTTCAGTTACAAAGTTCCGCTGTTCAAGTCGTATAATTGCTGTGTCGAGAATACCGACTAATTTGTCAATCGAAATTTTTTCGTTTTCAATAACCTCTGTGTCACTTTCTTCACTATCGGAAGCGAATTATAATGACAAGGAATTTGATTTAAATCATATCAAAGACGGAGTACATCGTTTCGGAATGGTTAGAAAAATGAAGGATATGCCTTTATCCATTTTTTGCAGCAATTCCACTTTTTGTTTAATGGACATCGAAACATACTTTCGCTTTGTAGATCCTTTACATATTAGTAAATATATATCTAAAACTCTATTTGACGGTATAAGCTAAAATTATCTATTTGAGTTAATGTTGCAGATTGCGTTGTTTCTTAATCTTCGAACTGGATCCGGCTTATTATTTTTTGCAGACTGCTAGAACAATTTTATAAAAGTAAGCTTGAACTTTCGATTATGTTAAATATAATTTCCGATGCTGGAGCTCCCCAAAGGATTTACAAAGCGAATGTTTCGATGTCCATCAAACAAAAAGTGTAATTGCTGCAAAAAATGAATAAAGGCATATCCTTTTTTCTCAAAGCATTCCGAAATCTGTTTATCAATTTCACGCTGCTCTGCGGTGGAAGGGGGGATGCATGCCGCGGCGCGCAATGAATTGGAAGTTGATCTGTCAGCACTATCTTTATCTTCAGGGCAGATGTTTTTATTTTATTTGGTGTATAATTCCTTACTACACGTAGTATTTTCATCTCAATGTACTCAGTCTTTGATATAATTTAAATCAAATTCCTCGTCATTATAATTCGCTTCCGATAGTGAAGAAAGTGACACAGAGGTTATTGAAAACGAAAAAATTTCGATTTACAAGTTAGTCGGTATTCTCGACACAGCAATTATACGACTTGAACAGCGGAACTTTGTAACTGAACAAGAAATTATGTCTGTTTATAGAAGTAAAGAGAAAGTATTATCACATAAAACAAAGCAACTTAACCAACTTGCATTGAAAGAAATGTTTAATAAGGTAAATAAATAAATATTAAGCTTTTTTTTTTTGTAAATTTTGATACCCTTTAGATCATAATTGTTCTTTATTTCGTAAATTACGGTTTCATATTTTTAATTTTATAATTTCTGTATGCCATCTTACCAGATTTAAATGGATGATCTATAATCCGGAATCGCCGAAGTCCCAAAGAGTCCGGATTAACAACTTTTGACTGTATAACAAAATGGAGTAAAATAAAATTCCCTGGAAATGTTGGATTTCTGCCAGAAATATAATTTCGAAACTTCCTGGAAATGCATACGTTTTAAAAATGTCGCTTCTGCCTTGGAACTTAATCTTTTAATCTGGCTAGGTACTAATATTTTTATTGGCTTGATTAAAGGGAGGCAGCTGGGTTTCAGAAAGAAACAACTATTGCTTTCTTATACACCCCAAAACATAGAAATGTGCTATGCCATCCATGTTGTGGACGAAATGGCTGCAACGTATTCAATGGCTAAAAATTCAACATCGTATTCAAGTCATTCACCGTAGGCTATTTCTAATTACAGGCAGAACGTTGCTGCAATAAATACATGGATAATTTTTCTATCTACCAAGAAACCACCAACTAGGCATTGAACCCGGCATTCATTTCTAAAAACATAGCCATTTCAACTGATAGATTGTAAGAAGTCAACAAGCAATGCTCCCATTAAGTCTAAAAGTAAAGCTGGGCAATAATGAGGCTGGTACAACCCCTGCTAAGAAGGTAAAGACGACACATAGAAGATGTGCTGTATGCGGGGCCAAAAAAAAAGACAGAAAAACTAAGTTTGTCTGTGAAAAATATGTATGCATGGAACATATGGATGTATGCATTTAAAGGTAAAATTTTTAATATATGTTTTAAAGTATGTTTTCTCTTGTCTGTTTTTGTTTATATTTTGTGCATTAATGGTAAAAGAGGGGAAGAAACCGCCCTCATGTCAGTGCGAGCAGTCCCGTTCGTTTTTCTTGTGCGAGTAATGCCGGGTTAAAATGTTTTTGCTTCTAAAGTAAAAAATTCTTAGAACTAACATCTGTCAACATTTTTTTTATGTGTATACCAAGTCTTGTCGTCCATAAGATTGGAGGAGGAGCCCGAGAAGATTTGCAGCATTATTAATATTGTTAAGTGTATACTGTGTATTGTTCCCAATAGTCTGTTTGGCAAAATAGAAAAGTACCAATTTGCTTATTTATATTTAAATTTAAGGTACAACTCTGATATACGCCCTAATTTCACCAAATGTGGCGATATGTGTTCTGCGCTGGTTTTTGGCGCGATTGCGTGTTGTATGGCAACCCTGTTGACGTTGAAAAGTCTTTCGCTGGAGTTCGTTGGTTTCCGTCATGCTTTATGTCTGAGAAGCTAGGGGGAAAAGATTTAATGGTGAAAGTTGTTGAATTGAAGTTCGGCATAAGGAAATATCGTCGTGGTCATCCTGTTGAGGGGCAATGGATATTTGGAGGTGTGGAAAGAAAGTATGGGAGATTATTTTTAGTGGTTGTGCGTGATAGAACTAGGGATTTGTGATTATTTGTTATTTTATTTATTTGTGAACCATAGTATGAATTTTCTGGATAGTGTGTCTGGCTGTCATATAAATACGATACTAGTGATTACGTGGCGGCATGTTAAAGGCGGTATGAAATTGGTATATCTGCTCTTCGAAAAAGCATTAATGGTAAGTGCATTTTATTTTATTCTTGTTCTTATTTTGTAGAATGTAATGTTCATTGTTTTTTTTTAGTATGAATTTCTGTCGTCATTGTTGTTTTTTTGAATTGTTTGAAATTTATTTTAGTTATTTTGTTGACTAGTGCGTACCATCTGAATTGTGCAATTCGTAGATGTTTTTTAAAGTTGAAACAGAACGCTGTGTACAAGGTATTCTTTGAAATTTATTGTTGTTATGTTAATTTATTAAAGTGAGGTGTGCGTAGTTCGTAAATTCGTTTGTTGCCTAAATTGTGCAATTCGTAGATGTTTTTTTTAAGTTGAAACAGGATGCTGTGTACATGGTATTCTTTGAAATTTATTGTTATGTTAATTTATTAAAGCGAGGTGTGCGTAGTTTGTAAATTCGTTCGTTGCCAAGATTGTGCCATTCGTGGATGTTTTTTTAAGTCAAAACATATCGCTGTGTACATGGACTCTTGTCAAATAATTTTGGTTAGAAACTTTACGGTTTTGCTATCTAAATTTTTTGTTTTTGTTTCGGATTTTTAGCTTAAATTGTGTGTTCAAAACGTGGTTTTTGCATTCACGAAAACCGTCTTTTTGGAGACATTTTAGGCTTAAAGTTCGAAATGTAGACAAAAAATTTAGATAGCAATATGGCAGCGTGGAGGGCGAGAAATTTGGTGCCTTGAGGGCGCATATCAGAGTAGTTCCAAATTTATTATTATTTTTTTTTTAATTTAGAATGTTTCTTATAGAAAAGAAAAAGTATAGAAAATGTTGATGAATAACAAACATCTCTATTAAAGAAGTATACAATAAAAGGGTAATTTGATATTATTGCACAGATTATTCAAATCTGAGGTTATTTCATATTATAAATGCTATTGGGTACATATTTTTAGTTCAATATTTATCCTAGTCAACAATTTATAGAAGTACTTACAAATGGTATCTATCACATGTAATTATTCCAGTCTACCACGGTGTTACTGGCCATTTCTAACTCTTCAAAGCAAAATTTTACACTTGTTAATTCATCACTCCAGAAAAATATAAATCCGACTGCTGTAGTACATGGCAGATGATTAACCTTGAACCAATTAACGGCTTCGAATGCCAATGTCTTTGTTACACTTTTCACAATGCATTTCCTAAAAGGTTATTTTCCAACATAAAATGCAAATTTAAACATTTCCACTTTTGATGCAAAATATAATATTCCTGCAAAGATTTCACAGAATTTTCTTCGTTTGCAGCCAAATCTCCTAGTCGCTTATTTCAAAATTCAGCTGAAGACCAAAAATATCACAATTTGCCTTTACAGCTTCTAATACAACCAAAACAGCATGCAAAAAAATGGCAATGTTGCTCATTCAAACTCAGTTATCGATATGGTTACCTCATGAATTATTATGCCACATTCGACGACTATGGTCGCCACAGTTCGACGACTTCTGAAAATTTGGTGACTTTACTAAGGTGGTTGGAATAATAGCAAAATGCCTACAAAAGCACCTTTTTTAGAATGATGAAATAAAACTAAATCCAACACAAATAAAAGGCTGATTGCACTCTTCCCTGCTAAAGAACCTCTGTAATGGTGGATTTATTAAGCTAAAAAAATTCCCTTACAGCTCTCATAATTATTATTTTATATTTGGCAATAGATGAAAATCAAATAAAAATGCATACTGACTTATAATAATACATTTAAAGTCAATCTACATATGTTACATTTAATATGTCTTCAACTAATGTACCATATTCCAGAGATGATTTCTGAGGATAATTAAAGGTGTCTTTAGTTAATCTTTATAATTTACCATAGATTGAATAAGCATTCTCTGAAAATGTAATATATTAATGATTTGCATTTTAGAAATACAGTCAACTTCCAGCAGAGTCATAGCTAGGAGTTACAGCACCCGGGGGACAGCTGAATATTTTACACCTCCTGTTTGCAAAAATGGGAAAACATTTCATTTTAAAATGAGGTAACATCAATTTAGCACCTCCTGAAGGCTGTGCCTAGGAACAGATGTTCCCCCTTGCCCCTCCCTAGCTACACCAGGAACAGTTAACCAAATCCTATAACCCCCCCCAAAAAAAATCATTGCAAAACAATGTTAACTTGCTACAAATCATCAGCCTAAACATACTCTTTTTGTTAAACACTGATTTCATTTAAAAGACCAAAAAAATTTATTCTTTGGATTAAGATGTTTGAAAATAGATAACTTAGTATTTTCCTTCTAATTATAATGCAGATTACTTATCTTTCTATAGCAGCTGTCCTCAGACACTGATTTTAAATTCACTATGCATGTTGTGTTTGGTATTAACTCCATTAATTCGAGTTTACTATCACTAGTAAGTTATTTAAACCATAATTAGATTAGATATTTTAAAACATCAATTTTGATACTAAGATTAATCATTACAAATAAGATACAGGTTACGTTACTATTTCTTTTTTTTTTTTTTTTTTAATTCTAAGTTAGGGTATTAGCATTTTAATTTAAATATCCAAGTAATGAAATGATAGATAATAGGGCTAAGCCTTGACTACAAAATTACTTTAATTTCAGAGGGAAGGAGTCCTTTTATTTATTTTAAGGCAATAATGTCTAATTACTAATATTTCTTAAAAAATTAAGAAGCGCTCTTGCTGAACATTAACTTTGATGACCATCTCCACGCTAGACCACAACACTACTTAAACTCCCGCGATCATTTTAGAAAGTTATAATTTTACTGAAATAATCTTCTGCAATAACCATTTATTACCAGAATCAATTATTTATACTTCCTATTTAGATATATATATTCCTATTTAATTTTGGAATTGAAAAATATTTCTGTAGTTTATAAAATACTTCATAAGTCATTAGCACAGTCAAAATTTGAAAATAGATATGAATCAATGAAGCTTTTAATCAGCAGACATTATCCTATGCTTGTCCTTTTAACTTTGAAAGATAAAATTAAGCTGAACACTTCTTTTTTATTGCTATTTTAGATTTTAACTATTTAACATGAACTGACAATGCTTAAAATTTCACCCTAAAACCAATAATGTTATTTCTTGCTTTAAAGAATTTTTGCTAATAAATGGTTTCTGAAAAATACTTTATTATTGAAAAGTACAACAGTTTGAGAAGCCAGTGCTCATTGAAACCCTATTTTTTTTATAACTTGTTAAGAATTTTAATCTACATGTTTAATGTAAAAAAAAATTCTGGGTTAAAACGACAGAAAAGAACATGACAGCTTTTTCATCTATTTAATTAAATTGTCAAGTAAAATTAATACATTTCAGTAACTTACTTTTCATAAATTTACATTAAAAAATATCATCAAAACTCTTCAGTTTAATGTAAATACCATCATTTAGTATCAAACTAATATTTGCACATCTTGAATGTGTATGTTTCCAAAGCATCCAGCTGTAACAAACTGGATAGATAAATACCACATAACAGGTATAAGACAGCACAATCTAGATAATACATGCATTAAATATACTGAGAGTCTAGATTTGAATCATTTAGGCTTGCAATGCATGCATTAAATAATGAGAAAAACATTTTGAACAATGGTAGATCAACTTAGTTCCTAAATGTTTTAGTTTGGCGATCTTGTTGTTAAAACAGATTTACAATATTCACTTAACCAATTTAACACTATTTAAAAATTGATTGATCGCTTATTTAGGTAACAAACCAGTTCAGAGTTTTATACCTTTTTCCTCACAAGTGCTGCTTTCTCAAGCCTATTTTCAGACTGCACAATTCTGTCAAAAGGCAGATCTCTCACAATTTAAGCAATTATTACTGAAAAATTACAAATTATAATTGAAAGAATAATATTAATTCGGCACAATCACTCAACAAATTAATAAAGGGGAAAACAGCTTATAAGATATGATAAGTAACAGATCGAAGAAAAATGATAAAAAATGCTATCTTTATATAATATTTTTAACATTATATAGTCTAAAATGATATACAAAATATATAATTTACTGAAATAAATTACGGAAA